TTTATATCTGCAGCTATTTAAGACAGCCCATATTTATCACTGTAATAGTTACAGATTCTGAGTGTACTCTAGCTCAGCCTGTTAAGCTGGCTCAGATGAGATTTTTAATTTGTTTTTCTGTAATTGATAGTACTGGAGCCCAGGCGATATGACAGTGAGCTTCTGAGAATGCTCCTTCACATCAGAAAAAAAAGAAAGCAGTTTTTTCTAGGAATCGGTTAAAAGCAAGCTCCCCTGTGATGTCTACTGGGTGGTTCTAAATAACAGTCATGTGAACAGTTCAGTGCCTAATAAAATGTCCAACATACTGTTCATAAGATAAAAGATAAAATGTTATACTTAAAGCATGTATACAATCGTTACATTTCTTTCTTTCAGTGTTCAGTAGCATGTCATTGTAATGTACTAATATATTTTAAAAAAATAAATAAATGCAAATACGATATAAAGGGTTCTAGACATATAAAACAGAAATCATTGTAAAAATGCTGGTAGATAGCACTTGATGTTTAGGTCTATTGCCACACATTTGCAAACTCTGTAAAAAGCTCTAATCAGAATATCATCATACAACCTTGGAAAAATCACCCCAAAACACAACTTATTTTTATATTACTTTTTGAATGATGCTGTGTGAGGCTGATCTAAACATGATTTAACATGAATTCAATCTATGAATATTAAAACTAAGAGTTTAAAGTATTACTTTCTGTAATATTTAATTAGATTCTAAAATATTTTGAACATGCTAGAAACGTTTTAACATTTCCCAGAAAGAACCACATTGAATACTGGCTATAATATAAATTTAAATTTATAATTTTATATTTTGAACATATAAATATTAGTTTGTTTTTTTCTACAATGAATTCTACAGGATATACTGTATATGCCTTATTGAAACTGCAATATTGATTAACATTCAATGATGTGTTCCTATTTGTCTGTTTGACAGTACACATTTTTTATGCCTGTTATACGCTGGTTTTAAAGTTTTATGGACACTCTTAAAATGGAATATTATGGAATGAAGAAATTTGTGAACCACTCAGAACACACATTAATTCTTATTACCACATTGGCGGTACTACAGAGTGGTAGGGTGTGTGACCAAAGTCAATCTGTACTGTAGGTGGCTGACAATGAAAATCTGACAAAAGCTGACACTTAAAATAACAGGTATAACATCTCTGAGCATGATGAATTATATTAATTTGTGAATTTAAATATACATACTGTATATAGCTAGTAGTGGTAACTTAAAAATAAAAAATATAGGCACACAACAGTATTCTAGCTTCTTCACACACATTTTCTGCATCAACCTCATTAACTTGAACACTTGCTGTGGTTATTGTGAGAAGGTGTTGACATGCCCCTTTAACTAAATCTGTTGTAAATGGAAAATCAAAAGCTTGTTCCATATTCCCACAGTCCTTTCTATTAAAGAAGTGCCTCAAGTTTTTAAGACACTTCAACATTTAAGATTTATCACTTCCCTATAAGACTATGAGACCTATAACAGAACATAATGAGTTTATGCAAAGCAAGTTGAGCACTTTATACATTTTTGTATACTGTACATACAGGTATGTGAAAAATTATTATTAAGCTTGGGTTACAACTGTTTTAATATTTTTGAGGGAATGACATCTGGATTGCTGTGAACTTGTGAGACTCAGTGATGTAATTTACTTTACCGAGCAGTTTGAAAAGATAGCTATTACAAGGTCAGGTAGTATATCTGAAATATTATTACTCTTTTGTGTAAAGGAAGTATCACAGTATAAAGGTAGTATGAGGAATCATTATTTCTTTCTCTATGCGAAGTACACTTCCAGTATTTGCTGTATGCTAGCTACAATAGATCACTGTCCTTGAAAGTCTGACTTTTTAGTTTATAACAATAATTGTACTAGGGATGTAAACTGCCTTTAGTCTACCTGGGATTAAATGGAAATTATCCCAATATCCATATTAGCTGTATCATTCTGCAACTTCTAGTACAGATTTCCACTGTAGCAGATAATATTATCAGGCAATCAGGGACAAACTAAAGTATAGACGATATTGAGTAGTTATTATAAGTACACAGGCAATATGTTTCCCCAAAGCCAATTCTACAATGAAACTTGGTTTCTTGGGACAGAGATGCTTAAGGACATAAATTCATCACTGCTGAACTTTAATTTTTGTTTTCTGAAAAGTCAAAGTGTCTCTGTCTTTGGAACTTCTGCACCCACTGAATGCAGTCTTGACAGGTTTCATCAACACTCAAACCAGCTTCAGAAATATACCTTATAACCTTGCAGGTTGTACAAGGGGACCTGGTTTTACGTTGTCTTTATGTACAGTACTGTGCATTTCTCCATGTTGATGTTGTTGAGATATTGGTAATCTAGTAAAAAATACCCAATAACCTCCCTTGAGTTTTTGACTTTTGTTTAGAAAAAATCCTGAATGTTGTGTTTTGTCCAACTGGTATGCGGCTGCAACTTTTATCATTCTTTGCATCTTTGCAAGGTGCATTGATAAGTTGATAAGTTGCAAATGTGATAGTACATGTGCTTTATTTCCTTCAACAACATCAACAATCAAACACAACTCAGCTACAGTACTTCTCAAGGTATAAACAAGTGTTTGTTTAAGACGTGTGTGTTTAACATGTCACTTAAAATGCTTAATATTACATTATTTTGAATGATTGGTTAGTCAAGATACAAGTGAGTGATAGGTTAGAGTACAATAATTTTTAAAATGTTTAAAGTAATGTATTGTATTTTGATAGCTACCAGTGACACATACACTTGACACATACTGTAATAGAGAAGTTTAACTTCTGGTCCCTAATCCTGAAGTACAGTATATCAAGGCTCCTTTTGAGATGATATGTTTAACACACTAACTGTCATAATTTTTTACACCTTTGGCATGTGCAACCTGTACCCCTAACTGGTCCTCTTCAAACACTGATAATCCAGTTAAGGCCAATTGATATTTATCTCCAAGTGTCTTGTTTGATTGTTGATGCAAATACAAATGGTGAAGTAAGATTTGTATACAAAGGTTTTTGTAAAAATCAAGATTATCTCCTGACAGCTTTTCGTTTGTTTTATGAATGTGAAAAGTTCACAGGACAGGGTTCCACAGTTTTTATTAGCATCAAAAGTAACCCCTCTTCTTTCCACAGTGTTCCAAGGTCCTTTGGTAAGTAGGTTGGTTCCCTTTCTGTCTGGGACAATGCATAACTGAATATCTCCTATCTCCTTTAGACATCATTGGGACTAACCCAAAAAGTTTCCTAATTTTTATGATGTGACAACAAGATCATTCCCCAATACTACAGTGTATATGTCCTCTTGCAAAATGCAATTTCAATGTTATACACAGGATTGTAACATTTTTGTTGTACGGTGAAGAATTGTTCAGTGGAAAATTAAAAAAATTACATCTGAACTATTTGGTTACTATTCATCCACACATACTGAATTATTCAGCCAGAGACATTCTGTCTTCACACTTTGCATGTACTGTAAAAAGTATGAGATTTTATTCAAAAAAATACCTATAGGCATGAGCACATGTACAAAGCAGAGCATACAGGGTGTCTGGAAGCTGTGCTAGAATAAACAACTGATTCTAACACTGCTTTCAAAATAAATTTCTTGTCCTAAATAAGGCGAAACGCGATGAAGAAGCTCAAGATAGTTGAAACATTCTAGTGCCTCTGTTGCCTTTTCAGAGTGAAATTAACATATACTGTACAGTACTTCTTCCTTAAGTATAAGAGGGTCCATCCATTAATCTACTTTCAGAAATCTATTTGTACTTAGAGGATCAGGGTGAGTCAGAGCCTAATCCAGCAGGTGTAAAACAGGACTACACCCTGGACAGCATTCTAGTCCACACATGCATTCACTGGTGCAGAGGCGTGAGTGGGAGAGCAGTTTAAAAGAAGGAAAGTGGAGCACCAGAAGAAAACCCATACAAACACACGGAGAACATATAAACTTTACACAGATAGAGCCAGATTCAATATCAGGAGCCCATAGCTGTAAAATGTGAATGCTACCCACCGTGCTACTTGATTATATGGTATATTGCTTTATAAGATCATGAGCATTTGTGAACTCCTGAATACTTTAATTGTACTCTCTTGTTTGCATGAGTGCTGTACCATAGTAATAAACAGTTTAAAACCAAAATAAAATCTAATGCTTTTTTTTTTTCTTACTGGCTGATATGGATAAGAGTAATTCTTTTACCCATCTTCTTTTTCACTTGATATTTAAAGTGCACTGTAATATTGAAGAACATTTCATTGTCAGACGGTATGGCACAGCGCCAGAGATTTAATTGAGTGAGGTCTCTACTGTGGCTTTTAAATGAGTAGATGAAATTTTACGACATTAAAAATGTTTCACCTTGAAAATTATAACCTTTGTGGAAGAAAGGGAAAATTTCTTTCTAATTGCTTGTACAATTTTTCCTCTTTCAAAGCAAGAACAAATATTTCTGTATACTTTAATGCATATTTATTGAAAAGTGTAATATGCTAAAGATTATCTCTCCTGAAAAGAGATAATAAGGAAAAAGGAAACAGAAAATATGTATAATGATTAAAATGTTGTTTTATGAACTTCCTATTCATGTAATCAATACATAAAATAGGGTTGCTTAGTTAAGCACAAACCAAAATATTTACCTCAATAATCCTTGAGATCCAGTCAGTCAATTTATTAGTATTACATTTTCAGGTACTCAATAAAATCTGTAATTCAACCAAAATATGTTACTTTTGCTTCCTTTTTATTTAGTTTTTATTTTCCTGAAATGTAAAAAGGAAGAAACACTTTTAAACTGTAAAAACATCCAAAACTAACGACACATACAGTAATTCTAATCCACTTAAGAAACAATTGAAGATGTCTTTTATAAACTGATTGTGTTTTCCAATTGTACATCTGCTGCCTAATGTTTCTTTAATTATTCTTTTGTAGGAATGACATGCCAGGCACGGACTTCCTATACCGAGGACGAAGTTCTTTGGGGTCACAGGTTTTTCCCTGTGATTTCTCTTGAAGAGGGCTTCTTTAAAGTTGACTACTCCCAATTCCATGCAACATTTGAGGTTCCAACCCCCCCTTACAGTGTGAAAGAACAAGAGGAAATGCTTCTCATGTCTTCTCCTTTGATGGCGCCCTCACTGAGCAACAGTGGAGAAAAGAATAATTCTGTTGATGGCTTGGAAACACTTGAGGACACAAGCACCAAGCTGCCATCTAAACTGCAAAAGATAACAGGGAGGGAGGATTTGCCCAGAAAGCTACTGCGGATGAGCTCCACCACCTCTGAGAAAGCATACAGCTTGGGGGACTTGCCAATGAAACTCCAGCGCATCAGCTCTGTCCCTGGAAACTCAGAGGAAAAACTTGTTTCCAAAACAACGAAGATAAGCTCTGACCCAATGAGCCAGTCAGTCGCAGACTTGCCACCTAAACTGCAGAGGCTGGCCACTGGAGGAAGGATGGATGGACACCTGCCTCCAAAACTCAGAAAAATGAATTCAGACCGGTTTACATAACTAATATTACAGGAACCCTCCCTCCCCTGCCCCTGACTGCCTTGACAATATTTTCAAATTTGAAATGACGGACAAGATTGTGAAATTGAAATTTAAAAATTTATATAATTATATATATTGAGTAGGATAAATTCAGCACTACCTGTATGCTTGGGTGCAAGTATAAATGCTTTGATGGGAGACCTCAGATATTTTTCAGGTCATTGTATTATTAATATAAACTGGCATGTAAGCGTCACAAAGCGCATGTAATACAGCATTGAAATTTTTCTGGCATGGCATTTATAAATCTTCAATGATTATTTTGCAAAAAATAAATAAAAATGAAATAAATAAACCCTAGGAGCCAAAGTGTGCTCTAACGTTCTAGCAAAGTCTTTTGCAAAATATGGATGAGAGATGCTGCTGAAGAGGTTTTGAGCGCTGATTTTATTACTATTTTATTATTTGGAATAATGTGAAATTGTGTTTCTGAAGTACTATTTTTGAATGCATGCTAGTGTTAGGGAATTCTAGAGAAAGGGAGAGGCTGGAGCCAGATCTTTAGCCTTAAATAAAGTTCATTGCCCTGTTTTATTTTCACTACTCACTGCTTTTATTTATTTTGTCTAATCCTTATTCTTAGCATTTCATTATATTTTATCTGTATGGAAGATTTGGCATTTGTTGAGACTGGGCAAAACTTTATATTGATGATTTGCAAATCTTCAATATTGTCTTATTATTATGCATATTTTTAAATTGCATGATTTAAAGAATATAAATATCACACTCGATTTTGACTTTCACTCACTGTACTTTTAGATAATTTAATTGAATGGATGTTGGAAGGCAAAAAACCTACATCTGGTTGTTAAGACATCATTAATTATTATAAATGTTTGAAACTTTTCTACATGAACTGTAGCAATAATGATACATACAGTAAGCCATTATCTTGGTGGGACTGTGTGAAGTCCTTTACAAAAACGGAAAAGATGACCTATAGGTTTCTACAAAAATGTCCCAATTGTTAGCAAAAGTGAAATTAAAGATTGGTTCTGACAAAGAGCTTGGTTATTTTGGACTATGATTAAAAACTTCAGCCTTCAGGGTTTCTTTAAGAAGTGCTTTTAATCAAGCATTGACATTGTTCACTTCACTGACTCTGCATAAACACTATCATGCTTGGTTAATGTAAGAATAGCTACAGGCTTAATCAGTTGTGGCTAATTTGTGATATTAATTTGCACAATTGTCAAGTCTCTAAAATGAGAGAATTTTGAGAACATTTTATTTTGGATACTGTTTATATCTATTTCCGTTTCATACAGTAATTGTGATTATGCCAAGATCCATTATTTTATGCAAACAATTTTTCTCTCATTCCCATTTTTGATAATTTATTATATTTAGTATAATTAAACTGGAAAATGTAGTTGATTGAATATTGCATCATGCAGTTGATGAATATATTCAAAAAGATGATCTCTTGATCCTCTGACGTTTGCAGGAGTTGTATAAGTACCGCTAAACTAATCCCAGAGAAACACAGTAACAAGTTTCTTTTCCTTGATAGCATATGGCACAATGGCAGTCCTCTCATTTGAAACCTTTCTTATGTTCTTAAGATCCTCCTGTGAAATGTACTCTGTTTCATGAGGTGCCAAATCAATGGAATGTTTTGTGTACTTTTAATGAACAAATCATTCCTTATTCCACATAATGTATCAATTTTCTTGTAAAGTTAGAACATTCTATATTAATTTATAACACATAACAGATTAATTATTAGATAAAGAATCTAGATGTTCTTTGTTATTTGTTAACTTTTATTGCGATAGTGGCAGGGGATTAAATACAAGTACTGTACAACATGTACTGTAATCAATGCACTGGGTTTTGGTTTGGTTCGATCAGATGATGTTCGTCTTCAATTCTGATGTTCAAACTTCAATTTGTTTTGCCCAGCCTTAAAATGTTTGCTGTAAATGGTTGATGAAGCTGATTGCACAGCCGGTCTGTGTTTTCAAAGCACTGTAGAATTTGAGCCTGCTAAATGCTGTAAATTGTACATAGAGATGTCTACCAAACAAACTAGATTTTCAGGCATGCAGAATATTTATTGTAATAATACACAAGTTTTAAATGGACTTGTACGCATTAATACTGTAACCTAATTCTGTATTAAACTTTTCAGCAATTCGATGAGTTTAGATTTTTACAAAGTCTGGTTTTGCTACTTGCATATGTTGTCTTTTTTGTCAGCTCTTTCATAATAAATTTTAACTGTGTTAACTTAAAAATGTAGATTTCTACAGGGCCTTAAATTTCAAATGTTTTGAGATTATACCCCTAAAAAGTGGTTTAATTGAGTCACATTTTGCTTCTTATTTGAATTTTACAATAGTGCATCTGACTCTAGATTATATATTAATACATAGGTGGAAATTATGTACAGTACTTCCAATCTGAAGCGTGAACATCTGTTTAATTGAAAAATGACTCGTAAATTTTTAAAGCGCTCATTGAATTTAATTCTGTAAATGTAATATTGTTGCACTCCTGCTTTTTAATCTAAAGAAATAGAAATTACCAGTATATTCTAACTAGATATTATGACTATACAATGTTTTTTTAAAGCATGCCAAAGAACTGGAAAACTTAATCAATATCACTTAATTTCAATTAAAAATGAATAAAATTCAAGTCAGATAAATTTAAACACTTACTGTACAGTACATCTTTGTATGTGATAAAAATGTTTCTTGTTTCATACAGACTTGTAAGAAAAACTTAAAAGATTTTGCACATATGCTTCTCTTCTATTCAACCAGGAAAAGAGGAGACACCTTTTAGAAATTGGGTTTCTACACATTTGTGCCTGATATAAGTCAAACGTTCAATCCTTATACCAATCAAATGACAAAATCGGGATCTAATGAAGGATTCTGCTTGGTAGAAGAAAGAGGCCAGAGGCAAGCAAGTATCTGAATAGCAATCTACAATCAGCCAGCAGACCAAGGTTTTGTTTGAACTCAGGCCTTAATTGAGGGAAAAGCAATTAAGTTATACATGTAAAAGGATTTCTCCTCATTACACTGTGGTTTAAAAAATTGCTGTTACTTGCCTTTATTGTCCCACTAATTTATTTTGCTTAGTTATTGAAAGCCTGAATTGAGAAGGTTGAAGGGTTTTGAAATTCTATTTAAGTATCATCATGTCAACCCTAAGGATGAAAGCAAAACATTTATTAAAATCAAATTTTAACTTCAGCATAATGTACCTGTTTACACCAGAGCAGAGGTATATCGTGTACTTGAAATGTCACTGTAATACCTTTAAAGTTTGCATAGCCTTGGTGTACAGCCTAATCAAAAACAGTAACAATGAGTGTTGGGATGCCACAGTGCATGCCAATTAATGTGAGTTAATGCCAACTAAAATAGTCAGTCTCACTTAATGAGAGTTTGATGATAACCATTGATTTGGTGGTTCCTGACATGATTATTAGTATGGTAAAACACATGACGATAGCTTGAATTTTAATGGTTCCAAGGCATGTTCCAAATGTGGCATAACTGACAGAATTCTTTAGTCATGGTTGTCTGCCAGTGTTTTAAATGCTTATCTTTCTTTGATAATGAATGGAAAGCTGTGCTGACAAGTCAATATTTCATTTTACTTTATGGTAAAATATTTTTGAAATGTTTAATGGTATAAAACTATTTTTATATAACCAGAAAAGGTACTGATACTTTTGGCCTTTGAAAGACTATGCTCTTTTCACGGTTATTTTGACTTATCATTAAAAATACAAAGACCACAATCCCCATATTGTTTATATTTCCAAAGAATGCCACAAGGCTCTTAATGTTCCTTATTCTTGTCAACAGTATTAAGCTATGAAATTTACAAATTTGTCCAAGATCAAATGAAAAATGAATAACACACAAATAATATAATTCTAAGACTAGCAAATATAATTTGGGTGCTTTGACATTCTAGAAAGAAGCGGTTTGCAAGCATTTTTAGTAAAACTGATTTATTTCTTCTAAAAAAATCTCTTGCATTGCACCATTTGCAGTCAATCTCTCAGCCTTGAGTGTGATATTCCCTGTTGCACCTATTTTTTCCCTTCTAATCAATACAGGAGTGAACAGGCAAATGACATTAGTTACATTTAGATTATTATGCTGCTCCCTACTGCCCTCAATCAAAGAAAAAGCTCACTGTCTTTTCAGTGTCCTACATAAATAACTTAAAATCATTTAAATTAAACCTGTCCTTAAACACTTAAAATAGACACAATTCTTGTGTATGCTGATTAGCATTCCAATGTTCCTTTTATATCTGTTCTGTGAACCCACTTTCCTTATGTGGGATGTTAGTTTTACAAACCACAAAACTGCACAATGCCTCCTTGACAGCTGAAAATATTTTCATCAGCGGTAAAGTGACTCATGTTTAGCTCAATTGATCTCATGTCGGTTGTTTAAGGTGTTGCGGAAGTACACTGGAAATTAAGTTGTCATGGTCCTATTCTTTACCTTAAGGTGCACAAAGAGAATTGACGAGGACGTGTTAAATGATACCACTGACCTTAAAAATGGTTCAGTGCTGCATTTTTTCATTTACAGGCTCCAGTAGCAGATCTGTGATAAGAAAACTGTATTATGTTCTGATTACACAAATAAATGACACTTTAGCATTCTGAAGCAGAAAGTGTTACAGTTTAATTTTGTAAGCTTCAGTAATGACTTTTTCAGTAAAATGTTAAGTTTTAATCTGTACGTCATTCAATAACTTACAAATATCTAAACAAGGAGACAAGTAGGACGAATCTGGTTTTCTGAGAGAAAGATGTGTTTTGATTTGAAAATAATACTAAATGGAACTTTTACATCACACAGAAACAATAGTGAGCATTTTAAATTTTGAACTATGTTTTTGTCCATCTTTGAGTTTCCAATGCAAAATATGCCTGGGTATATTTACAAATGTGGTACGAAGAAGTATTGTGAATGCTATTTTAATTGTTGTGTCTTTTATTTTGTGTTAAATATCTTATTATTTTCTTCTTCTCCCTTCAAAACATTATTTTGATAGTCACTGAACCAAATGTGATGAAAAATGCTCTGCCTCAGACTTCATCTTTAAATAATAATAAAAGAAGTGATTAATGAGATGGGTAAACAATGTCTTTTCAATTTATGTTTAATAACTGAAAAAAAAAACTTCTACAACAGTTTTGTTAATATCTAAATGTACGCACTGAAGGATTGCATTAGATATCTAACATTCATTTCAATTTAAATTGTGTAAAGAGTCACAGAAAGCCATGACAGATGAAGCTTGCAGCATATGGGCACATACTGTAAGCACACAAATCCCCCTAGACTGGAACCCAATCCATCACAGGCCCATAATAACCAACTAAGTCCAATCAGCAGGGCTTGGGAAATGTGAGGAAACTGGAACACCAGGAGAAAACCCATGGGCAGATCATAAAAACTCAACACAGACATCCCCAAGGCAAGAATCGAATTCAGAGCCCTCAGGACTCTTGACCCCAGAGCTATGACAAGAACACCAACTGATATGTCACCACACCACCAACACGACAAATTGTTATTTTAGCTATAGGCCTTTGTTCTTTGTGCAATATGCTGTATGATACGATAAAATGATACTTTGAGTGAAACGCCTTCAACGCCACAAAAAATTGCAAAGGAACTTCTACAATCATATCACAAATTTAATTTTTAAGATTTTGTTCTACATTGATAAAAGTATATTTGTTCAGGTGGGTAGCTGCGTCAGCATGCGTAGTCCGCAAAGGAACAAGTTATAGGTTTATTTTCCAAACTGGTACTTACGGATCAATTAATTAATACTTAGTGTTTGCTACTAAGCAATAATGTTATTGTATTTGATAGCCAAAAATGCCACAACATTAGAGAAATATCATTTAAAATTAGTAATTTAAAATGATATTTCTTGAAATATTGTTTGAAATTAAATTTCATTTAAGTCAAAATTGAGAAACTAAATGTACAGTTGCATGGTGTGCATTTTATTTTTTGTATTTTGTTTTGATTATTAAGCAAATTCAAGTGCTTTTTAAGATAAAATGTTTTGTTTAAGATGTAAATACTGTATATTTCAAAGTAAACATATAATAAGGTGTAATTTAATTGTTCTCAATTAGAATTTTAATGTTTCACACATTTCAGTATTCAAACTATAACAGGCTCTATTTTTGGGCATTTCCAAGCTGAAAAGGGTATTAGTCATCATTCTGTTCTTTCAAACTGCAGCCTTTGCATAATTTGCAATTTTAATTTTTGTTGACAACCTCCCAGCTGGCTTTTAATGCACAAGTGGAGCTGTTTTTTTTGCCCCTTACAAATATAGCAGATAACACTTATTTGAAGTGCCAAAAATTCACTGAGTTGTAGACATACAGTAATACTCTAATAATAGTAATACTCTAATCAATAATTTGACAAAAAGCTCTTTTCAAATATAATGTATTTACCTTACAAATAAATTAAAACTTTATTTTGGGAAGATGCGAAATACTGGGTATAGTGTAAGTGTAGTTTTTCCTGTTTTAGTTTTAGACATTGTGTCAATGTTTATGGTATAAGATTTTTTTTAAAACCTGTTAATATTATTTTTCACTTTCTTGCAATTATATTGAATTTCAATATCTGTTAGTTCCTAAAATGTAGAATTTCCTATTTCCAGCATACAGTACTCATTATGCTGCACCAGTAATTGGGATACGCAAGCAATTTCAAGGACTTTTGATTGAAACAGATAAAGACATTTATGGTTTATGCCCTTTGCTCCATCTAAGAACATCTGTCTATCTGGCAAAGCTTTTGGAATAATTGTTTCTCTTCGTCATTGGTCACATGAGCTCTCAACTTGTTCTTTTCTCAGCTTCCTGTCATCCAACTGATCTTGCAGTTTGGAGATCGATTTATGCAATTACTTATCAAAGAAAATGTGATAGGAACTTTTCTTTTTCCTTCAGATAAGCTGCTATACTGTAGCATTCACAATCCTGCTGTTCTATACAGTAGATGTGAGACAGACTACAGTATGTGAATCATACATACTGTATCTTTAGTTCAAAAGCCAATAGATGTGTTAACATCCTGTATTGTTGATATGAGAAAATAATAATTTAAATACTTTTATATTTGAGAAAAATTAATTTGTATCACAAAACTCATGACAAAAAGTGTTTATATCTATGAGTGAATCCTGTAATGCAGGGATGTGTTGAACTTGAACTTGAACTTGAACTGGAACTTGAACTTTATTGCCATATGTAACCAGTGCTGGTACAATGGAATTCTTACTTACAGAAAGTCTCTCGATTGTAAAACAAGTGTAAAAAACAAAACAAAGTGCAAACAGTGCATCAAGACAATGTACAAACAAACAATAGACAATGTGCAAGTAAACATGCACACAGTTTGAATGTAAACAATACAGACGTGTAAACAATGACTGGAGACGTACAATAAATAAATTACAATGAGGTAGATGGTGATGGTCCGAGGGGGATGGCTAAATGTGTTTGCCAGTCTCACTGCTTGTGGATAGAAGCTATTGAAGAATCTAGTGGTAAGTCTCCATATGCTCTTATATCTCTTGCCTGAGGGCAGTGGGGTGAAGAGCTCATGCCCGGG